GTGAGCGGCTGCGTGGTATTTGGCTGCCTGCCAGGTTAAACCACGACACTCTGCATTCAGGGGCAACCCTGATTTCAGGAGCTGTGCTTGCCAGATATGACCAGGGCTTAAAACTGAGTCTGTTCTCACAAATGGGGGTCTATCCACCAGGCTGTTGCTTATGCTGGACGGTGAGGATGCCATCCAATCATATATTAACAATCTGGCTAGAGAAAACAGAGAACTGTGGAGAAAGCCAGTTTGAAATCCTGGGCTAAAGACTATCTAGCTGTACAACTAGGAATCACTTGAAAAGCAGAAAGAAAAAGAATTAATTCCTGAATAGCCAGCAGTTGCCTCTCTATCATGCTAACCAGGAGCTGGAGAGTCCATGCCTGCTCACCTGACTGACAGCCTAAACATAGCGATACAATCACCCCTGGTTTTCTACATCCCTTCTCTACTGTTTCATGTATGAGACTGGTCTAAAGGAAACCGAGCTGATCCCTAGGTGCTTCATCCCATGTGGCTTTTGCACTTGCCTGACCATCAGCCTGTAAAAAAAAAGGTCTTACCATGCTAAGAGCGAATTTAAGTGGTCTGGAGTGGTAGGATCAGGGCTCAGAGGTGGCGAGGTCACGAAAGCTGCAGCCTTGGCCCAGTTTTTGCTCCAGTAATGTGTCCCATCTGTCCCCAAGCTGGCAGTGATTGGCTCTCCAAAAACAAGGGGACCTTGGGGGAAGCAAGGATATACAGGAACTGATGACAAGCCACTCTCTCTTCAGCACATTATACTGCTTGCTGCATGCAGCCATGTATAATTTATGCACTGCTCCCAGAAAACTAAGCAGCCCTGGCTTTGTCTGTGTGATAAAAAATTGATCAGGAGGTTCTCTGAGCTACACATGCTTTTGATCAGCATATTTACAAAGCTCCCTTTCTAATCCAGAAGGAGACAGTTCAGATCTGGTTTTAATTTGTACTGTTTTAATCACAGCCATGTTCTCTACGTTGCTCTGCTTTGGAGTGCATTTAGGTGGAGGATGGGCTTCAGCAGACAGATGCCTTTTTACTACTCCCAGGTTGGGCACAGCACCAGCAGATAGCAGCATATGGTTCCCAGCACCATACTCCAAGTCTCCAAGGACACAAATATCAAGACGATGTTTTGCTCTTTGGCTTTTCCATATTGCTCATGCGCTTTGTAGCACCAACCAGCAGAACAGGCCTGACTCGCAAATGCAGCTTCGAAAGCAGCTGCCTCCAGGCTCACAAGCCCCTTTTGGGTGCTTTGTAACCTGGATCCCTCCACAGCCCCAGCAAGCAATGTCAGCCCGCAGATGTCTCCAGTGCACATCTGACGGGGTCAGCCTCCGGCAGCAAGACCAGGAGCAAGCACCGGGCGTCTCTAACAGCAGGTTCACTGCCCAAGCTACCCCTCAGAGGGCAATACGCTGAAATAACCCCAAAAGGCACAGAGGATGTGCTAGACCCTGTTAGGAAGAAAATATCTCCCTCCCATGAACAGAGATACAGCAGTCTAAGGGAAAGGTAAAAGGGAAGACAGGATAAAGAAGAGTTACAGGACAATCTTCAAGGGGACAGTTTGTGGGGAGAGTTTCTCAACTGCAAAATGTAAAAGGATTTCCCTTCATCTTTCCCAGCCGTAAATATTTAGGGTCTGTGAACCTGTCACCACTCATTGGTAACCTCTCCCTATATCTTGTGATTTCAGCTCAGTTTTTCCACTGAGCTTCTATTCAACAAAGCAAACGAGTTTGGGGGAGAAAAGGAAGTCTCCTACCTTTCTTTCTGGCCAGTGCAATGATATCAGCCGCACTCTTGCTCATCACCTTGGTGATGTACACTGGGCAGTTTATTCGACTGGCAATGGTGATGGCACGGAAAACTGCTTCTGCTTCAAGCTGAGGAAAACAAGGAGGAAAAAGTTAAGTGCAAAAGCAGACTGAAGAAAAATGAACTGGAGGACCAAGCCATATTTCTCACTGTTTAGCAGCAACTCTTCAGGGGTTGATTCTGCTTTTTCCATAGAGAGAGACGCAGTGCTGGGAAACAGGGAGCTAACCCAACCTCAGACACTTCGTGTTAGGAGTAACCACAGCCAGGCTGTACTCGCTAATGGGGTACAGCCCCAGCACAAATACAGCTCCCTGGCTCCCTCCATCCCAGGAAAGGTCACGTCCAAGCAGCTGATGGGGCTCCTTCTTACCTCCCTCCCACCTTTCTGCTTCAGACTTCTACCCTGCAATTGGAAGGAGAACGAAGCAAGGAAACATTGCCCCAGCTTGGAGACAACCTCTGAGCTCTTCCTGGCAGCTTACCCTATGCAATCTTTACATAAGGATGACAGTGAATGTAAAGTATTCTCAAATAGCAACTTCAGCACTATGGACTGAATTTAGCCCATAATCCATAAAAGCCTTTGAAGCATCGCTCAGTAAGTCCCCTCTGTCAGCAAGCAATCTCCTCCCAGAGAGCCATCTGGGATGTAGACACACAAAGCAGTCACCTTCAGACAGAGGAGCAGTGTTTCCCAGGGGCTCTGAAGACTCCTCTCCCCACTCATCTGTTTTATACCTCCTTCCCAGATGGACTCACAGTATCAGCATTTTAATAACCTAAAACTCCATTGTGACTGAAAATACTGACTCGATGGTACAGAAATTCTCTCCAAGAGTTGTGCTAGAAAAGTTGAGCAATTTAGCCCTTCCAAAACCATATGGCTTAATTCTTCACAATTTTGTAGAATATTATTTTTTAAATCAGACTGTCGCTTCAGGTTTTCCTAGGACTTTTATCACAACATTTGTTCTGAAAGCCCCAAAGGCACCCGCAGAAGACCAGGGAAGGATGCAGGGCCTCTGTACCTCAGGACTGGGGCTGAGGTGGTCAGATGCACAGTCAGAAAGATGCAATATTCCTTTCTGGAAACTGCAAATGCAGATTTTACTTAGGCCCTTGTTCTCATTAAAAGGAAACGACTCCATTCTTTTAGAATAATTTAGGTGGAAGTTAAACAGCAAAATGAAAAAGTACATAAACAGTTCAATAGAAGAATGCGACCAATTAAGCTGATTCCTTTCGCCTTGGGGAGAGGTTATATAAAGATCTGCAAACCACAACAATCTCTTCAAGTTTAGCCTCAAATCCCCAGGGCCTTGTCTCTTTAGTCTTCAAGGAAAGCAGTCACTTCCCACTACCGCCCTCCATCATCCCATTAACGGTCTGAACTGTGTACATTAAGGGACATCCACATGTCTCCACCTTTTTCTTCTCATTAAAGAAATCCTTTCCAGATGCCTGAGATGATCCTGGCCAGAGCCTGGTTTTTATTATAAGAGAGTTGCATAAACTGAGCTGCCTCGCAGCATCTTTCCATTCTCACATATTTGCATTTCTACAGCCTGCATTTCTACTACAAATGTATCTGCCGGCATAAATGTAGATTTATATGTCGGCTTATGCATATGCATGGCATATACATACACATGCATCTTATAGGAAGTTTTCAGCCCAAGCATTTTAATGAATGCAGTTACTCCAAAGCCTAACCCACAAGCTGCACCGCTGATTTTTACCCTGATAAGCCTCTTTTTTTGTTGTCATGAATCAAATCACAAGGGTCACGCTCAAAAATACGTGCACGCCCGTGCCCGGGGCAGCAGGAGCTGTGACTCCTGAGTGTACAAAGACCGAAGGAACGCAGCTGCTGCAGCAGCAAAAGGGTATTTCAGGCAAACAAAAAGGCTGAAGGGGACCTGGACTTTTCAAGGCTTTGAAGAAGACTGGAAGAGGCTGGGAAGCAGCAGACTGTTGCCCTTCCTCGCACACCCATCTATCATCTGCACATACAGAAGCCAAGCTCCGATACTACACACTCGACAAAATATTTCCATGAACGACAAAATGAGTGAAGTCTCTTACCTCCTCGGGCCTGCTCAGGGCATGTCCCTCGGGTCCGGTGATTCCCATCTCCAGGATACGCTTTTGTTCCTGCAACATAAGAGATAAATGCTGACAACCTCTCCAGGATGAGACCCTTGCACCAGGCATCCTCTGGCGGATTAACAGCCATATTGTCTGACTGTCCCTTTTTTGTCTGTGTAAATGCAGCTGCGTAAGCCTGCTGCCGGGGGAGGAAGACTGAAAACACTGGCTATAAACTGGTCCCATTCCGCCCCGGCATCCACTCCGCGCAGCCAGCACAGATTTCAGGGGAAGATTTGTCGCTGCAGTGCAAAAGAGCATATTTGTGCCTCGAGCTGTTGGGGTGCACCATCGGAAATCTCCTCTGCTCTCTAGACTGCAACCCAGGGAACAGGTTTCAATCAATATACTAAATAGTAATTATGGATATTTCCAGCCCACAATTCTTTCTTCACTCGCACAAGTTCCCCTCTGGCTGCAATCCATGAAGCACTTTTATCTTCGTTAAACTTTCAGCATTGCTGACACTTCATCAAATAAAGTCTTGCCTTTGGCATCCGGTTTTCTGTAACACTTTTCTCCTACAGAGTGAACCACTAAAATTATGTTTTCACGAAAGCAAAACAGTGCCTCTGGTTCTGAGGGGACTGTGTCCACACCAAAAAGCCCATCTTAGGACCAATGGGGGTTTGTTGGAAAAAATCTGTGCCTATCAAGCTTCACAGGAGTCAGATTTTTTTTTAATAGACAAAAAGCTTCAGCTATCTTTTAATTTAAGGTCAAGCAGTGGTATTGGAATAAATTTCCCTTTTTGTAGAAAATGGCGGCCAACCACTTCTGATCTGAGGCTGGTCCAGGTCTGCCAGCAGAGCAGAAGTAGGACCAGAGCTGTTGACATACCTCCGACCCTGGCCTGCCCGGCTCACAGGTCTCTAATGAGCCAAGTTCAACAAATGTAATGACTCTGTGATACAGACAAATGTCCCCTAGAGACCAGGATGAAGTTACCGAACATACTTTACTGTGTCATCTAATAAATATTTGATCCCAGGTCCCCGAGGGTGAAAAGCTCACACATTACCAACATACTCCAGCAAAACCTGAGCAAGTTAATATTCACATATACTTTTGCCTTTGCTGCAATCAATCAAGGCTGAAGAGGCATTAATAGGAATGTATTAATCTGACTCTCTAATTAAGATTATTTTGGTCAGAAAATCGTAACGTTTCATAGGTATTCTTAAAAATAGCTGTTCTAAATCATTAATGCAACAGCTCTGAACAGTGCCAGTTAAAGACTTCAGATAATTAAAATACAACAAAAAATCAAGTTGCAACCATATAATGCAAAAAATAGCAAGATGGCAAAGAACGAAACAGAAAGAAGGATAGGTTTGCATCTTGAAGGAAGTCATAAAATCAGATCATATGATAAAATTACCCACTGTAAGTGGATTTAATAGTGCTAATAAGATAGAATATTTGTTTGATAAGATCAAATTTGGATTTTCACACAGGACAGTCCTGCAAAACCTCCCTGCAGGCAGCTTTCTTTTCACTATCCAAATAATCCTTCTAAATAAAAGCATAAGGAAAGACTGATTTTATGACACATGGCAATGGCGAAGAAATATGTTGATGTATAACATAATTTACATTTCTTTACTACTTCTTCTTTTCCTGATAATTCTTCTGCCCTGTATGTTCATATTCCATGGCTATATATTAAAGCTGATGAAAGAAAAATGTAACTGAAACAGATTTCTATCAGAAATGCAATTCCACGAGCGCACCCTGCTTTTAATGGGGAACATATCAAAACATCATGGGTGCCATTTGATTTGTTTCATTTTGCCATTCCTACAATAATATTGACTTATTATGTTTCTTCTTATTAATTTTTGTTCTACTGGATATTTTATATTGTATTAAAACTATAGTTTATATATTTTGGTAGTTTTAAATCATGCTAATCTTCAAGGGGAATCAACCTTTTTTCCCTCTTGAACCCAAATGAGGGTTTTCACCTGGTTTCAGTGGGGGAAGGACACAACTGCACTGTATATTCCTGTTGACTCCTCACTAGTAACTTTTGAGCCCAGTGGTTATTTTGGCCAAACTTGAAGGGAAAAGGGAAAGAAGGCTCTGAAAGGTGGTAAATTCCTACCAGGCAGATAAAGGACATAATTCCACTGAAGGAAAAACAACAAAATAAACCCACGTGGGCAAGAGCCCTTACATACTGCCCAACCACTCAAACGTTCACTTGAGGTTCTCCCTTAACCATGAGACAAGGTGGCTTCCCTAGTCCAGATCTCAACAAGACAACTTGTTTTTAGCTATTGTAATTTCCCTGTCAGCTCTGCAGCCTAGTCCTTAGCGGATAAACCAGCAGCTAAAGAGCTCAGCAGATAAATCAGTCGGCTCACTCGGAGCCTCACGGACCTCAGAGGGGCTCTACGCACGTACATGGGATCAGAGGAGGGAGACATCTCTGCAACAGCCTTAAAAGATTAATCTGCCACAGATGTATGGAGTCATAACAATACCCCCCCAAACCCGCCCATTCTGTTTTATAGAAAGACCAGCAGGAGGTTTACGACGGCTGTCCTCGGGATACCTCTGTTGCACAGATCAGAGCTACAGCACACTCCAGTGTGAGGACAGTACCTACATGGGGGACCTGACCTACAAAGAGTGCACTGGGGATCCGGGACATTTTAATGGAGCATACTGAATTTGAGCCCAGTTTCCTGGTTCTGACAGGCATCTTCAAAGAGCATGACTTACACTTTAACGCACATTTTTTAAATGTTTAGAAGATCGTGGTGGTTTCTTATTCTCAAACTTCAGAGAGTTATAAGAATATTCTTAAAAATAAATAGGTCTGAGAGCTTTACCACCCACTTTAAACTCACTATGCTGCTTATGCTGATAGCTGCAGCAAGAGACATTAGCATAAAGCTTTCCAGCTCCACTTTTTGTCCCCAAAATCTCTGAGCAAGGCTATCCGTTGTACTGCTTCACTTGTCTCTGCCGGATTCAGAGGAGATCTTCTTGCTTCCTTCTGCCCCCCTGACCCAGTCTTCATCTGCTGCCAAGGCAAGGAGCTGTCTGGATCGCTGCTCTGTCTCACAGATGCTCTGCCAAAGCACGCAGAAGGGCCTCCATCCTCTCATCCCCGGGGTTACACCAACGGTGTGTAACCCCACAGGTTACACAATCAGGCCCCATTAAGGCACTTACCAGGTAGTTCCTTTTTTCCTACCCATACTCCGACTGGAGGGTTTTACTTCTCTCTTTTGTCTGTGTTCTCACAAAGTGAAGCAAAAATGACAGTTCACTCACCTGAGCTATCAAGTCTCCATTTTCAGCATGGACCAGGATAACAGCCCCAAGACTTTTTAGAAAGGTAAAGGCTTCATAAAGCTGCAGGTAGTACAAAGAAGGAAACACTGCTGAATAAGGAAAACACATTACTCAGACCTCTCTGTTCATCTCAGTTTTGCTCCTTCTATGCTGGTACTTACCTAGGCAAAGAGCAAATTATCTCCCTTTTCCATTCTCCGCTTTCTACATGGAGTCAGAGCTTCACTGCTTGGTGTTGACTGACCCACCCGCTACACACCAGCCAGCCCCAGGACGAGCCGCTGCCCTTCTGCATCGAGACAGGCTCAACAGTCCCGAGCAGGGTTGCATCTCCCTCGGACATAGTGCCTCCCCCAGCCCCTTGTCCTGCAGAGCTACCTCTTCACGCCCTCCCACGCAGGCCTAAGCTTAGTGAGTAGTCTCTCTTCCATAGTTTTAGCAAATGTAAAATGGATTTATTCCCATGGACTACAGACTCTCTTAGTACAGCTAAAACACCTCTCTTCTGAAGTGCAGGCATTTTGCACCATTACCTTAGAGCAGACAGTGTCAAGTTTTCACTATCATCTTTAATTCTCCAGTTAAAAGTTGTAATATTTTCTCTAGAGCATCCTTTTTTTTATTGCTTTCTAAGATTCAAAACCCATCCACACAGAAGGGAAATAGTTAATCCTATTGCTTTTACTGAGAATTTCTAAGCGTAGATCTACTGAAATTCAGTTCCCTTTCCAAAAGGTATTCAGGTAGCATGTTCCCTGTTTAAATCAGAATTCAGCAACATGGGAGCTCAGTTTCCAAACACAGATCAAATACTGAAGACACGGTTTCTTCAGCGCCCACTTTTGCACTAGGGCACTTCAGCTAGCATTGAATAGGTCAGAATACACAGCCTGCAATATGAGCATTTAAACATTAGTCTAGCCACACATTAAACATTTTGATGTATTTCTCTTGGGAATTCCAACAGGGAATTGAATTTAACAGGCACTGCCTCTCAGAGAATATTTATATATCATTATATCTAAAATTCCAATTAAAACCACATGGATTGGAGGTGTAACAACAGTTATTTAAGAGACCAAGAGCTATAGCTCTGGGAATAAGTAAGAAAGAAACATTTTCTCAACTGAATAAGCAAATATTATTACTACTAACAGATGCCATTGTCCATTTACAATGACCTGATACTTATGAATGGGAAAGCTGAAGAGTCTGGAATCTGTAATGAGCTCTAGACAAACAAGCTCATTGTTATCTCCAGCCCTAACGAGAAAAGGTCACCTCCCCCAAAGAGCAATTCCATTTAGCTGTTTGCAGCAACCGAGAAACTCTTGAAATCTTAAAACTGCCACCGCCTCCAGTGCTTCATCTTTTCTTCCCTCTCTGACCTAGAGTTCTTGAAAGGTAACAGCAAAATAAAGTGCATGGCAAAATCCTGAGCAGTGCTGAGTGGTTGCAATGTTGGGAGACACCAGATAATCCTTGCAGAAGGTGAATGTCATACACTTGAAGGAACACATGCAGATGTTCAACACTGCTCGGCACTGACCCTCCAGAGAGAACAACTCCTCCACTGCCCATTTCCCCCAGTGCCACTCAGGTCAGTGGGAACATTTCACTGGGATTCAACCTTAGTAACAACTCAAGTGTAAGGAGGGAGATCACAGAAGAGAGCAATGAAAAGCATTCAGAACAATACCTGGCTGTCGGACATTTGGTAGAGATCTTTGTAGGCCATGTAGACTTGAAAAGAGTTCACACCTGTTCCAAGACAAAATTCAAAGGTGTTGCCATGTAAGTGGATTCTTAAATTGTATTTGAACAAAAACTTCAGGAAACATAGGTCATAGAATATTCATCTGGACTAGGCTTTTCACCAGTGACCACCAGAAATAAAGCATGGCTCCACAGCTGCATTTACAGCTGCTAGGACTAGAAGCCTGAATCCCCTCTTCTCTGGAGGAATTTGTTGGACTCTGTGGATTGCCCGTGTTCAGCCCCGGAGCAACCCAGCCACCACTGCAAATGAGATTGCTTGTAGCCAAATCACAGACAAGCGATAGTGGCTAAAGCAAGCACGTAAAGTTTGTAAAGTTTAAAAAAACTTGTGAAAGGTTCTGTGAATCACTGGTTTTCTTTTTAGCTTTCTTTAGCTAAGCAGGAAAACATGTCAGCTTGACCTGAAACAGCTTTTTAATAGATAAACTTCTAGTTAAGTTTCCCCAAAGTGCTGAGAAGCTGTAGGAACTGTATATCTGAATTTGCATACAGACTTGCTTTTTCTTGATCCTACTGCCCGAAGCACCCAGCTCAGCAGATGGCAGACACTGGGAAGGAGTGGAAGCAAAGTCTGAAGCCAGTTACAAGGGCAGCTCACCATACCTCTCCTTCCACCTTCCAAAGATGGAAGGATTTATGTTGGCAGTCATACAAAACCATGAAAGATGACAGCTCCGAATTCTAGAAATCAGTAAGAAATGCTAGTGGTGAGTGTCGGTTGCCAAGAACCAACTGTATTCAAAACCCTACAAGTTTTGCTATTTATTTCAAAGATTCAATTATTTACACAGCTTTGTATTCTAACAGAACAGGAATTCCAAAGACCTTCTGTTCATATTTTCTGTATATATGAATTCATATTAGTTTATAAATTTGCCTTACTCTTTAGTCTACTGACAACATCCCCAGTTTGGTACAGGGACTGATCTCAGAATTTTCTAGCTTAAAAGAAAAGTAAATTCTAAGCTGTCTGAGCCATGTACGCTGCATTTCAAAATAGTTGTACTTCCCGGGGCAAGAGGAAAAAGAAAGATCTGTTCATGTTATTCATGTTTGCTACACCGAATGAATAAGGTTCTCTGATGAAGATATAACTCCTTCACGAGTCTAGAAGGTGCAGATATATCCTCAGGCAGAAGGTATGGCTATTCACACTCACACAGAGAACTTGGTTATTCACAATTACAAGATTAAAGTACCCTAGGATACATGGAGGATAAAACCTTGAAATGATCCCTGGTATTATGTCTTCCTGCTAAAGCCAGGCAGCTCAGAGAGAAATACGAAGCAGGAGCCAGCCCCTCCTTGTGGACTTCCACACCGAGCAAATCCAGCCTGGACCACGGAGCCCTGTCAGCCTGTGAGCCTGTCCTTTCTTCCTTTCCTCATATTTCTCAAGTTCCCAGAAAACATGCATGGCCTGTAATCCCTCAGCCTATTCCTCATTACACAGTTTCAATGTACTTAGTATGTCCCTCCTTTAAAACCTCTAAGCTTGACTACGCCTTCCCTGGGGTCAGGGCTCACAGCTTCATGCCTGCAGCATCATCTCCCCTCTGACTGATCACATCTGCCCAACCGGCCTTGGAGGAAAGCTCTGTTTCTCCTCACGAACCCACACAGTGTCTCAGATGTCAGCTGCACCTGGGAGCCACCTTTCTGCACGGGTGACCATGCACACATGAAGCAATGAGAGACGTGTCAAGGCTGGTCCAAGCCATGCCAACCAGCCTCAGTGATGGCGCGGGACTGAATCCCCTCATACACATTTCTCTGTAAGCAAAGGGTTACCTATTGCTCTCCTTTATCCACTGGGATCTAGCCAAAGGTAATTCATGTAATCAATCCCGCAGGAGACAAGGCAGCTTTCTCTGGGTACTGTGGTTGGAAGACGTACATTGACCCAAGTAATATAGATTCTCTTCCTTTTTCTTTTATTGCCTGTATCTTCTTAGGCCCTTTCCTGACCTTGGTAAAATGACTGTGAGTTTTTCTCCCACTCAGTGAATGTTCTCCCTGAAGTCAATGAGAGTAGAAGGGATCCCGCCACGGGATCTTGAGCCTGTCCCTTACCGACAGCTCCCACAGTGCAGAAGCAGAGTTCTCCCATCTAAGTGCACATCCACACCCTTGGCTACCACATCAGATACACACAAAGTGGAAGGGCATCTCCCGGGCTGCCTTCACCGCTAACAGGAGAGATGGTTTGAACCATCCTGCCTTGCAAAGAGAGTACCTTTACAAGATACCAAGATAAAATAACAACAATTTACATAGGTATCCAAGATTAGACTCTTTGCCTAATGCCTTGGTTTGGTGTCTTGATCCACTCATCAGAAATACGTGGCTTTTCAAAAGACCTGATCCATGGCCTATTGACCTTAATGTTTAACATTTGATACATGCTACATTCTTGTTAATGTCCTGCTTGCTCTTGCACCAGTACTCAACAGGATCCTCTCCAAATTTGAGACAGTGCTATAGGTTTTTTTGAACAGTGACAAAGTGCAGTAGTTAAAGGAACAAGTGAGGCGTCTGTCAACACATTTCAGGCTGTTGTTCCTTTGCATGTACTGGAGAAGCCCAGTCGCAAATTAGCTGCCAAAATGCTACAAGCCTGAGTCTTTATAATCAACATTTGGTTCTACAAAATCTCCAGGCCCTTCCAAAGCCTGTCCCTCTTTAAATTAGCTTTGTATTGATTTAAAACTGATTAATTATTCAGTTATACCTCATGACAGGGCACCTCAACAGCAGCTCTGTGAGCTCCCCTGTTGTTCATGCCGAGATTGTGTTAGGCACATGCAGCATTGAAACGTGATTAACTGAGCCCTGTTACTTGGCTAACTCACCCACCAGACAATCAGCCGAGAACAAATTCAATCCAGATTCCCAGCTGATGAAAACCAGCGTCACTCCATTGACATCAAGTCTATTTGCACCAGCTGGCTCAAACGTTTCCAATTATCAGCAGATATTATCCATTAATTTGAAAGCCCCTGCCACACTGAAATATTTCCTATTGTGCTTGTGCTTTCATACTGGCCCTTACCTTGCATCTCCTAACACATGAGCGTAATTCACTTTGACTGCCTGAGACATACTGCAGCATCCGTGAGAACAAAGGTGACCTCCTAATGCTATTGCCACCAAAGAGGCCGCCAAGGGCCTCGTCACACATCCCAGTTCAGGAACCGATGAACAGATTCCTGCTTCCCCTGAAGAGTGAAAGGCATGTCAGATTTATATTGAAAACTCACATTTCAATAGTTGGAGAAAACTATTAACCTAACTGTCTGCACCAGGCTTTTACTGTAAGCCCTCAGGCACATTTGGGAGTGCTGAGCCATCTGTGATCCGGGAGCTCTGGAAAATAGTATCTAACCTTTGAAACAAGGCACGGTATACTTGTCTGAGAGTGCAGTCAGCTAATGCACAGCAGCGTATCCATGTTAACGCAGATAGCAGGGAAACAGCACAGATTTGGCACCATCAGTGTTGACAAATGTCATCACCTTGTAAAAATCACCTATATTATAATGAACTATGTAAGACCAGCTGCAGTTTCTCTAAATTATGTGTAATCTTGCTGATTGAAGGGTTTTGTTGCCTAAAATCTGGTTATACAGCACACGTACTGCTAGCATGCTGCGATACAGGATAAAATCCCCATGTGACTGCACCTCCACAGTATCTCAGTGAACAACTGCTCACTCAAAAATAGGATTTTGCTTTGGTTTTCTCCTTTGATAGTACATTTTTATATAAAGACAATTTTTCAAATCTAAGTCATCACTAGCAATACACCTTACAAAGGATGCTGCATACACATAGTACTTAAGACTTCCCAACACAAGGGTCGTTCTGATTTACCCGTGGTAACTAAATACCACTTCAGAAAATATTTCTTAATTAATATTCCATGCATTTTCAAGGCAAGTATCAAGTGCAAAATATTTGAAAAAATATGTTTCTGGACTGAAAATCCATGCTGTAAGGCAGAATTTTAAGGAACTAGATCAAAATTATTATTTTTTGAAGGCTAGATTCAATTGCCCACACACACGTATCTGGTGCCACCAAGATGCCCTCCACATATGAGACTGCCACGCTGAGCTGGCATGTATGGAAAAGGATTTATGAGAGGTTTTATCGGTGCTGTTCTGGTGTGGTAGCTGGAGTCCAGATAGGGTAACCTACAGCATCTCACATGATAGTAGACCCGTTAATTGAACTGAATCAAGCCATATGTGTCTTAAATAGATTCCTAAATAAGTGACCTGGTTTTTATAAGTCCTGAAACAAAGCGTCTTCCAGTAACTTCAGGAAAAGCCACTGGAGACCAAGCACTTGAGAAAATCAGGACATTTTTTCAATATTAGGTACCTAACTTTAGCTTCTCTTTTTTCTAATAACTTGAACCTTTTTTAAAAATATAGGCATGTAAAAAAATCTAGTCTCAGCAAGTAAATTACCCTAAGCCGTTGCTGAGAAATGAGATCTAGCCTGTGATGACAGTTTCTCAGACACATGTGCCCTTCATATTTGGGCTTAATTTGAGGCAGCTAAATGGAAAGATTCCAGTCTAGTTAAAATCTGAACCTCTACCTTTAAATGTCTCATTCTCTCCATTCATGAAATAGGGGATCTAAGGTGACTGGGCTTTTACCCTAAATGCTGGTCTCTGAGTTTTATCTTAAAATAAAACCTAAGCATGCAACGTCTGAGCCTATTTCCACATGTACAAGCAAGCATAAAGTGATACATTTGTATCTGACAACATATACATCTTAATTTTCCATGCCTATATTGGGGTAAACCTACTCCCTCCATCAGCCTTGCTGCTGACTAGCACTAATGCACAAAGTTTTAGGTCTATTTTACACAGCAGCAAGTGAACACAAAAGTTCCAAGGTAGTGCAGATCCTTGGGCAGCATTACTAGCACCTGTGCATTTCTGTTCTGGACGATGCATTCATTAAAAGACTTCAAAATTTCATCTCCATATGATATTTCAATAAAAACAAAAATACTACTCATTTTCACTCACTAACCTTTGTCTTGCACCAGTATTTCCAGCTCTTCTCGAATCCCATCATACCAGCTGGTGATGTCCACATGGAGAGAGTAATCACAACAGGATTTGGTGTCAGCTGCCTCATGCCACTTCTCAAAGGAGGTCAGTAAACTTGATCCAGGTTCTGGAAGCACGTGGTCAACTGAAAAAGAGATTCAGTGTCTGTTACCCAGCCTGCACACTGTTCAGATTTCCTCAGTGCCTGTAAGTAGCCTTCCAGCATCTCGGCCAAAACAGCAGCCTTGGAGGCAGTCTGTGTGCAGACTGTAACTGTGGGAGGCTGGCCAGGTCCAGCAGGTACAGCAGGTACAGGTACAGCAGACTTTGTGGACAGTCTATACTAAAGCTGAGTCTGGCAACCTGCTTGGTGCAGCATCAATGGACACACAGTGGGAGAGCCAAACATCTCACAGTTCAGGAAACATTTGGTTTTCCCTTTACTGTTTTGTAAGAGACCACAAGTTCTGGACTTACTTGTATTTATTGTCTGATGTGTCCATTTCTATGTATTTCACAGTAAGCATTATTATTAACCAGTGCCTCGTAGTCACTGAATTGACCCACTCTGCCTTACCAATATATCAATGGAGATGTTGAATGCTTTCTCAGCAGCCAGAATTGGGAATATAGCCAAAGGTCTGAACAGAGATGATGCAGAGCACAAACACTTGAGCCACACTGTATGGCAGATTGAGTGCGCTGCAACTATGCATCTTCACTCAAGGCTTTTTGCATCTGACGATGCCACAATGTTTACTGGCGTAAAATAGAGACATGACTACTTATGCACATATACTTATCTTTGCAGGGCTAGGTCAAAAGTAAGTATGGAAACAAAGCAAGATGGGCTTATTGGTGGCATCTGCAAACCCTTCCTGCAAAGGAAGCCTTAACTGAAGAACATACACTTAAAAAATTATTAACAAAAGTAATGAACAGCAGTGCATTTTGTGCTTATTGCCAGAGATCCTTTCAGCTAATACTTGCTGCTAAACATAGGTAATAGATAACACCACTCAGCAAAAAAAGCCACATTCCAATTCAGTGGGAGTAAAACCCCACTGGGCAGCTCCTCTGCACAAGAAAGCTAAGACCATTTATGTCACCTGAACAACTGCCTCACAAACTCTAACCAAGGGCCAAGCCACTGCTAGTAGGAAAGCGACAAATCTTGTCCTGCCATCTGGTAGACAGAAGAAGGGTCTTTAACAACTAGAAACACTTCTCCCTTCCACCAAGAAAGATGTTCCTCCAGGACATCTCTGGTAAGGACTTCCTCAATCCCTGGTGCCAAATCCAAGTTCATAAATAAGCATCTTGTTATTTCCAAAGCCCCTGCAATGTCACCAGGTGGGAACTGCGGATCTTTGTCAGATTTTCTGTGCCATATACTTACAGCACTAATTACATTGTTTTTCCAAAATCCCAAGAGTAGGTATATTATCCCTCAGTGCTTGTTCTGTATTTCAGAGGGAAATCCAAGAGACAATTCCCCATGCCGCTGTTTGTTTCTGAGGGTAGGTTCATTTTCAGGCCAACTCTTGGAGACAATGATGAATGGCTCTCCTGCACAGTGCCCAGCAATTTGAAGATTCATTGCAGAAGATCTCAGAAAATGGGTATGGAGCCTCCTGTAGCTATCCCCAGATGTGCTACACGAGCTTCAGCTTGGGGTGGGAAGAGTTAGTATTGCTAATACTCACTGATCATGGTGGTGCCCCCTGCTAGCGCTGCTTTTGTGCCTTGATAGAAGTCATCAACAGCAGTCATTCCTTGGTAGGGCTTTTGTAGGTAAGTGTTGACGTCTATTCCCCCAGGAATAACCATGCGCCCATTAGCCTCTATGGTCTTGACTCCTCCAGGAACAATCAGATTCTCTCCTATTTGCCTAGGCAGCAAGGAAAGCCAGTATTACTTTACTTAAACAAAGAAGCACAGGGAACAGAAGCTATTTGAGGCATGTACAGGAGAGGAACCTAGGGGCCATACAGAAAGAACTGGGACCCCAGAGGAAAGGTAAGCTCAAACACCCGCTCTGGCTGCTCTGCACGGCACTGGCAGAACAAAGCATCCGCGAGCCTGCCTAGCTGGGCTGTGTGCTTGGGTTGCTTTGCATTGCTCTAGTGGCCAATAAAGAAGCCGTAATGCACCAGCATTAAAAAATGATTATTTTTTTATATGATTCCTATCTTTAAACAATTACAAATATGTACAGTTAACGCTCTCTTGGGGGCTCTGGTTTTGTATATTAAGTTGTTAAATGAAAACAGAAAAACATAGATCAAATATGACAGCAAGCTGGAATTGTAAATATACAGCAGAAGCATAAGGCACATCAGAAAGGAGTTATAATTCCTTTGTAACCAAGCAATGCAAATTTATCCTTAAAAAGAAATCTAAATATCCTAAGATACAGAAATACATATTTAAGAGACCCAAACAACTTTAATCTACCATGTCACATATTCTTCATCCTCATCTTAAAGTTAAAACTTAGTGAAACATTCTGCATAACTATGTGGAAAAATGTTAATTAACTGTTGCAATCTTTTTCCCTTCAGTTCTTCAAAACAGGATATTTTTTTGTCACTATTAAAAATATTAATCTGTCCCCCATGCTGATATCAAGCAAACTCCAGATACTTACAATCAAAATACTTTTAGTGTTCATGGACACAACTATGACTAAATTAACCTTTAACTTTTAAAGCCACATTACATTTTTATTGTCTACTTCACATGGTGCCAAACAGGAAAAGGTATGGGTCTGTGTGGAAGCCATGTCTCTGTGTTATTACACTGTAATATATTTGGGCTTAGAGATAACTGTAAGGTAGTTTAAGTTCACTTAGTTTATCTCCTATTACAGACACATAGTCCTTGTCTTAATTTCCTTTAGTCTGGGATAAAATTAATATTTATCCACAGCTGAACAAATACCCCAGACATCTGAGCTGCTGAATCCATTTCTCCCATATTAAAATGCAACTCCCACCTACAGAGCAAAACACACCAACTGATTAACAGCCAATCGCAAAAAGCTAGAACTGAACATGAATATAACCGTTAATTAAAACCAGTGAAAAAACCAGGGATAATTATTCACATTGGAATTTGGCCAAACCACCAGAGTTAATAAATAGCCCCAAGAGGTCAAGAATTTGTTTCATATGCTATGCAAAAATGTCACCTCCAGCAGCTTGGCTCCCCCGGTGCTCCGGGTTTTGGCTGGAGGGAAGCACAGCCATTCGGTTAGCAAACTCCCCGCCAGCACCCTGAGCTGGGTCTCAGCCGCTCAGTGCTGAACAAATCCAAAAGGGCTTACTTGTGAAAGCTGATAATATCATGGCTTGAAGCGTCTAATATTCATCAACACGTATAGCACTGGGAGCATGTCATAACCTGTTACAGCTGTGAGGAGCGCTAACGATACCATGACAAACAGGGAATTGATACGTACACAAAAGCCACCAGCAGCCCAGCACATCCAATTGTACAAACAAGTTGCAAGAAGCTTCTCTGCTGTTAAAATCGGACTCGCAAAGGCACTCCAACCATGAGCACATTGAAAGCTTGTATAAAGTTATGTAGCCCCACGGATAATAATGGTGTTGCACTAATTTTCATTAGTTGAATCCACTCCCCAGATTTTAATCAGAACAATCCTCAACCTTTGTACAGTGTTTGTGTGGCTAAAAAAATGAACTGGGGAAAAAAAAATTACTATGACCAATCTCCTTTAAATATGTCTAAGGTGGAATTGCACTCCAAGGACTACCACACCTTCTGAAAATAACAATATTAAAGAAAACCTACACAAAAATATAAAAGCAATTAATTTTTACTTTCTTCCACAATCAGTACCTACCAGTTCCCTGTTCAAGAAAACACATATCCTAATGTAGCAAAAAAGTGCTAAGTATGTACAGAAGTCTTTCAATGACTCATTGCCCATTATTTTCAGTGTACAGTTGAGTTAACAGCTTGTTTGGCAATGGCTGAAGTCGTCCATGCTGAAGTGACATGGGACCAAATGGCCTTTGTGGATGATGCTGTGCTATTACCTGTCAGGAGCCTGTCTCATCTCTTGCCCTGGCATCAAGATTAAGGCTGGGAGAAGGCTGATCTTCACTGGCATTCAAGGTTATTTTTATTCTGACTGACTAGAACACAGAGTAAGAGATAATGTGACAGGATTCCTGAATTGCTCACTTGTTACCGCTAAATGTATGTTAATAAGAATGGGGTTCAGTTACTTGTGGGTGAAAACATACAATAGCACAGATAACTTTATTCTAGACACTGTACAAATTATTGAGCTGGTTTTCTGATGCACCAGCAACTAGAAAACTCAGACTCGCAGAAGTTGACACTGTCTACTGTCTTCAGCTGAACAAGCTGGTAAATTCTGTCGTACATGAGCTGATTAAAGCACAATGGAAACAGCAGGTTTCAACTCTTCATAAGCCTCACCTGAGAAAGCTGAAAACCTCCCCTAGAACTCAAGTGGAGTTATTTCCGTTCTTATCAAGCCCAGATCTCTTTTAGGCATCTGAGGCTCCCCCTAACTTGGCTCATCGCCCATCCAGCTCTGGAGACCCTGTCCCCAGCCACCCATCCTGCACACTTGTTAGTCTCCTCCAGCCCGGAGGGACCCAACCCTTCCCCTCGGCAGGGACCGAGCAGAGGACAGCACGCACCAGACTGTGACCTGCCACTTGGCATGGAGACCGGGGCTCATTTCCTCATGTGGAAATGAGAGACAGGATAGATGCAAGCAAAACATGTTATTTATGTACCAAAGGCAATTTAAATTACTAAATATCTAAATTACTATTTAGATACCGGAGAACTGCCTCTCAGCTGCCACCTGAGTGTGCAGGGCTTAAGTTTCAGCCAGGAAAAATCCACATGCACCACTGCTCCCTCGTACCTAGGGAGCCACTTCGAGCATTGATAGGTAGGAAAAAGCACCTACCATCCTCCAAACTATAGCCAATCTTCAAATACATTCAAGGTTATACCTACATTCCTCTCTGCAGAACAATCTGAAGGGACATAAGCCTTAAAAGACCCTACTTCATTTCATTAGTCAGCAAGAGAAACCCAACCCTCCATTTTCCAAGCAGTTTCCACTGCAGAATAAGAAAATTAACCCAGATCTTTTATATCCCAGCAAAACCAGAACACTATTGCCTACTCTGGGCTGAGTGGTTTGGTGGCTTTCTGTGGAAAGAATTCTGTATTATCAGCTGGAGAGTTAGGGCATCAACTGAAATGTGGATGCCTGAGGTTCAAGGTCCTGCTCCAAAGGATCTTGAGCAACATTTAAGAACTATGTTAAATATTTAGACACAATGGACAGTTCCAGCTGGAGAAACTAAAAGAGACCAATCCCAGAAAATATAGCACTTCCCTAGACTGCAGAATTTATCAACTGAACACAGTCAGGACCCAAGCCCGTCTCACACCAGGCTGCCCTCACAAATTAGCTGCTTTTTCAGAGCAGGACTCCTTGCACAGTTTACAAAGAAAAACCTTGGGTCATCTAAATCCAGGAAACCAAGCACGACTCAGGGTGTTGAACAGTAAACTTGCCTCCTTAGGCAAAGATAAAGGCATAATAAAAATTAAGATCTTGTCTGTATATTCATTATTAATCCTAGCTATCTCGGGCAGCTGCGATACTTTCTGGAGATATGGATCCATGCATGAATTTCAGAGGGAGTCTATGCACTTAGCCAGGGCTCCTAAATGGCGGGGCAGCTGAAAGCTTGGCATTGCTAACCTGCCTACCAAGTACCATTGCATTTCGGGAGTCAAGGCAAAAAATCCACAGCAGTTTCAGACTCATAGCATCTCATGCACTTAGTTGTTGTACCAGTTCTGATGCTTACAAGTGTTACTAGGAAATCTGCATCCGAACGAACAAAAGCAGAGAAAAACTCAACCAAAATGCTTATCAGAGAGAGCGCAACTTGGTTGATTGTTGCTATTAAAAAAATATACGTGTTCATAATTTTCTGCCTTCTCCACTTAAAACAATATGCTCCTTTTGCCACTTCTGCAAGTAACAAGTAACACTACAACTGGAAAAGCAGACCACAGTATTAAAAAGAAAACCATATAGTCCATGGATACAAGCATTCAGAATTTTTTTCTGTTACAATAACCTGAATTATGAATAATGTAAGTAGCCACAGATATGTAAAGAATTGGACTTCTAATCTGATGATATATCAGAAAAGGAGCTCTGAAAACAAGTAGGTAATTAATTATTTACCATAATTATGTTTCTGAGCATTAAATTGTAGCCTCTGGAGAACAAATTTGTTAGGTCACTAGTGAAAATGTTTAGCAGTCAAGAAAAAGGCTTTGATCCTTGTGTACATCAGAGTGCTTGTACACACTACATAACGTTGCAAAACTAGAGACCCCATCTCCACTAAGCCAAGGTAGGACCAGTACAGCTACATGAACAGACATCTCTGTTACTGTTTCCCAGGCTATCGGTAACGTCTGTTTTATGTTTTTTCACCTAAGGAATATTTTCCCAGTTCCTGTATTTTATATCCTCATAAATCAGTAGGATTTTCTGTCTAATTGTGTGAAGATTTAAGATTATATACCTTTGCTAAACAAGGGACATACGAGCAATGCATAACAACGTCGTACAAACAGAACATGCTACGCTTCAGCATTAACCAACAGGGGAACTGAGAAGGAACAGGTCCCCATTAGCACTGTGTAACACGGGGCTTATTTTTGTGCCGTACAATCCTTTAGAGCATGGCTGCATTCACCTTGATTAGGTGTGGGGAAAAAAGCTGTAATGAGCATTCTGTCATATATGGACTCAAAAATACCCCTTGTCCTCAGCATTACTTCTAGAGAGAGCATACTTGCCTTGACTATTTTGGAAGAAACTAGGATTGAACTGTTTGAAAAGCAAATACCTTCAATTACAGTAAAGAAATTTTCTACTTATCTAATCTTAGTAAAGATAAAATGACAGAATTTCATAATTAAACACTCCTCTATTGTGGCCCCACATCTAGAGGTAACCAAGATGCTGGCTGCAGGTCAACACCATCACAGTAGTCTATACTAACAGGCATGCAGAAGAAGTTCAATATTTAAAAAAACCAACTTTATAAGTCCATCTTCAAGGTATATGTCTGCATAGAAGGAGTGGTCATCATTGATAATTCTTCCACCTTTAATGAGTAGTCGGTCACTCTGGGGGGAAAAAAAAGGAAGAAATGTGGGTTTGCTGAAATAAATAAACATAATAATGTATTGATTATACCAAATAGGCTTATCTTATATAGAAAGCCATTAACATCAAAGCACTTACCCTATATAAAGGTCTATGCCATAGGCTCAGGTAGGTACATAGACGGCGGAGAGGAAAACCATAGTTTCACTGAGTGTTTATTTCTGACTTTTGGAACATGAGGCCTCATGGTCATCACAGTCTTTTCTCCTCAGAGCACAGAACTCATAGCACATGGAAACACTTGAAATCCCGCTACGTCCCCTTTTTACCACCACCTTATTGTGCAAAGGCCAAAAAGGGAAGAGAAGGCCCCAGAATAAACTGCCCAACACTGGAATGGCCGAGCTGAGCTCACCCGGGACAACCAGCACCCCTGGAAGAGTAAGAGCTTGAAAAGGGAAGGGACGAGGTCGGGAGCGGCTGCTGAGCTCTGTAGCGCAGAGATTCCTGCCCAGGGAAGCTGCTTTAAGCAAGGCCAGCTCAGCAGGGTCACCCCGGCCGCTCCACCGAGGCGGCCAAGGGGCACGGCCCACAGCCTGGGCCTCCTGTACTGTGTTACAGACCGACAGCAGAAAATCTCGTTTCTAGCGGGCATGAAGAATGAATTGTTGCCTCGTTTGTGATCCCTGCAGGTCAAAGGCTGCTGATCAGTTGGGGCACTCTGCACTGAGGCCCCCCACGCCCCACCTCACTCACTCCGTGAATGAGGACGGGAGTGCAGTCTCCAAAGTTCGGTTTACCTGAAACACCATACGAACAGCAGAGCAAGCTACTGTCTCCTGGTATTTTCTGAAGTGCCAGAAAGCAAACATTTTTTCCCGTGAAGAACTGTTCAAATATCAAGTCTGCTGGGGCACTGTTCACAACAATCATCTGTTTCCATTTTTCTCTAGGCAAATGGTTACACTCTGTTCTCAAAAAATACATTTTACAGCAACCAAATTTTACCACTGCATATTCCTGAGAACCAATATTTGAACTCCCTCATTGAAGAAGTCGTACTGGAATCGCCAGCACTCTACCACCTACCCAGAGACAGGGAAAGTCTGTAACCTCAGTACATAACGCTTCTGGAAAGACTGTGACTGTGAATGCTGGAAAACGCTAAAGCAGTTAGAACCTTCTTTTACCATTCATATATAAAAAAAGCCATTTATCGTAAATTATTTCCTTGGCTCACTAAACAATAACTCAGAATCTCCATTTTGTCCACGTTTTATACTCCTCTCTCCAGACTCAGTTCTTGGTTTAATTACAGGATGACTCACGCATATAAACAATGCATGTCCCAAGTTCCCAGTTTAGAAAACAATTAAACAAGTTGATATGTTTCCTCATCTATAAAACCAGGACAACAATACAGACCTCCTAAAAATTTATTGATTAAAAAGCGCCAAGTCAGAGTTAGGGGTGGTACAACAACCTTTCTTCAATGTAACTTCTCAGCTATATGTAACATATTTACTTTTCAGCTTGTATTTGAACATTTTGCAGATTCAAAGCCTCTATAGCCCTCTACATCATTCTAGAAAGGCAAAAAGGGAGAAACAGACATTTCAAGGGGAGAAAGAAGGGGGAAAGGGGCACTTTAAATACAGCACATGACAAAAGAGTATGTACACAGAAGGTTTGAGGCTTTTCTCCATGTGGTGCAGCAGCGAGATGACCTTGGGGGGGAACCAAGGCCCAGAACTACAATGAAATATGTCCCCAGGACCTGCCTCAGATGTTGGTACCCCCTCATTAAAGGATGGAGACGAATGCAAGCCCTCAGTCTGGAATTTGCCAGAGCAGGCTCCCTGTTTTCTCCCCAGCCTCTCTACCGTCACTTGTAATCGCAGGACTTGTGAATCAGCAACCTGAACGCTAATCAGTTATTTTGCCACGTGCTGGCAGTTGCATCTCCTCACCATGATGATTTACTACACTGACCTGCGGAGACCACCATCTTGTGAGCTCTTTTTAAGCTCATTCAATTGCCTTCCTAAACATTAATACTGTTCAATTACAAGAGGCAAAAGCTTACTGATATGGGCAGGGAACGTTACCAGAGAACTGCATCTGTCACTGCTAATGAGTCAAAAACCTACATGCTCATCAAGATGTTCTACATTTTATTTCTTTTAAAACAGGAGAAGATGCATAATAAATAGAAACAAATGTCACAGGCCGGGAAAATAAGACAGACTAAAATAAAGCAGAAGTACAACCCCAGAAAAATAACTGTAGACATAAGGACTTTATACGTTTTTACATATAAATACACATATATGTGGCAAAACTAGGTATTAGAATAATCTGAAACTAAAAAGGATACAAATGCAGTTTCAAGAAAGCACTCAATTATGTGAGTCATCCATTGAATTAAGCCTCACTTACAGTTTATAAAGGATTACTGAATGTTTAGCTACAAAGTCTCGCCTTCTTCAGAATTTCAGAGGGTCTAAGAAAGAAAACTGCACTTTATGGAGACTTTCAACGTTTTAATTCTTGACACCTTCCCACTCAGAAGGAAAAAATTGTTGCAAAAGGGAGCAGGTCCTGCACCTGAGCTGGCCTGTGGCTAAGGTTGCCCCCAGCCAGGAATAGGAAGCCATGGGAGACGAGGCTGCCAAAAACCCACATCTTGCTCCCCAGGTAGTCTGCCAAGCCACCAGGGAAGGTGCCATGGAGCCTTGCCCAGCTTTCACCAGGACCTGATAGATGTGGAAACATCTCTGACACACATTTCCATTCCAGCAACTCAGCAGATTCAGAAGAAAAAGTGTTTTGTTGGAACTTGTCCCAACCAGCTCGAGCTGTCAGCGTGTCTGTAGGACACGTTACAGATCGCTGCAAGCCAGGAGTACAAGCAAAGCAGGGTACCCTTACACAGATGGTGCTGATGGGCACAAGCCCCAGCAGTACGCTGTGCCCAAGGAAACAGGCGCTGCCCCCTACACCCTGCTCCAGACCAGGGGTGGCTTGTCCTTAGCCAAAGCAGCAGTACCAAATGCCTGCGTGCACCTACCCATATAGATGCATTTCCATGAACACGCTGGAAAAATTACACAAACATAACTGACTAGCAGGGAGGTGTGGGTTAACGTTGACAAGCGATTTGTTATATTCTTCATGAAATAAACTTTCATACAAGCTCTTGGTCAGCATGTGAGTATTCATTCCCCGCCACAGCCTAAGCATGGGCTTTGGCGACAGGCACAGCCCTGGCCTGAAGGCAAAGGGACGCTGCCACCCTGCACTGCTGCCACGGCCACCGACGCCTGGGCACTCCTGCACTGTTTTAGGTCACTGGTACTCGCTGCAGTGAAATCCTGGGCAGAAATCTGGGCACACCCAGGGTCTGTGAAGTAGGTTAGCCTTCTCGGGCATGCAGCCCGGCTGTGCGTGGTCAGGGGCCGTTTATTATTTACCAGGGGCCTCATGTCAGGCAGGCTGCTTGCAGTTGTCTTACCAAGTGCCAAACGTCCAGAAAAACTAGGGACCAAAGTCCTCTTCTGCCTGGACAATGTTCCAGGCTGGAGGACAGCCACACTCTGTAGCACCCTGGGGAAAGCAGGGAGGGTGGTGGGAGGAGTGACCTGAAGCTCATGAATTAATCACGAAGTGCTGGCCCGTATTTCCCCTTCCCAGCTGTAAACCCCTCCAGGCGTGACACTTTCTTTGCCTAGCTCTCAGATGTACCCTCAGCCACTCAGGTGACCTTCGGGTGCTCTCACAATGCAAACAACAAAGCGCTCATTACTCAGCTCAGGAGGTGACAATAGTGTAAGCCTTTATAGGGTGGCTGCCACCTTTCTATTCAGCTAACAGATGTCTCAGTGACTGGTGCCCTGCCTGCTGAGCCCTAAGGGCTCCATACCAAGTTTTCAATGCATTGCCTGGCACAAGAGGGTGCCAGCCCAGCTCTCCTGGGTGCAAGCCAAGGAAAACTACTGGGACCCTCTCCTCTCTCCAGCCTGCCAAGGACAGACAGCGGGAACACGGCAAAACAGAGAGGGGGTATTATATTGAGCATATAAACTGAGCAATTCATTAGGTGCCAAGATTCATGGGGAAAAACACCCTGCTCTCATTGACATGGGAGGTGCGGAAAGCACCGCTGTAAATCCATGCCATTGCTCAGCATTCACTGCGGGGTGTGGGAGCCGAGGTGTTTCTCCTCCACCCGTCGCTGCTGCAATGATGCAACCGCATCAATGCAACGCTGTTTGCTTCCGGGTTTTGTGCCTGGCTGTGACACAGCATCAGCACAGCAACGATGCTTATCTCCTGTCTCCCTGCAGCTCCATTTTACAAGCCCTCCGGCACCTCCCAGCTCAGCTCGCTGCTGAGTATGATACAGTCATTCCTATTATTCACAGCTCTTCACCTTCAAACCCTGCGCACTGCTTTCCTGGTGATTTTTTGCTAATCGCGGTCTAGCTTCTCCTGCTTAATCTGGCAGCAAAGCCACAGAGCTTAGTCTGTGACATGACAGCAATTTTCATGGCAGCAGAAGGAGATGCCACAAACTCAGCATCCTTTGCTGCAGGAGGAGGGGCCGGCTGCTCAGACACGAGGCGGTGGCTTTCGCTCCCTTACAACTATCATTTGCATTACAGTAAGAGCAACACGAAACATCCGTAACCTGGTGACTGACACAATTTGTACAAATTGCCTGTTTTACTGGGTTTTTTAAATCACCCTGGCTCAGCTCTTGTGAAGTGTGTCCGTATTTTCATACACTCCCAGCGGTAAAGGCCAGCAGAGACAAGCACCATCCGCATCAACCTGCCGGATGATGACCCTGAGCCCTGCTGCGGTCCCCAAATCCGCAGTGCCTCTGCGCAATTACAAGTGAAGTCAAATTCCTTTGGTCAGTAAATCACTCAACTCTGGGTTATTTGTAAATATGATCCAAATGTTAGATTCTAATGTTAGAGCAGGAACAATTGCAAAGAAATTTAAAATTAGCCTTTTT